ATCTTCGCTAAGCCACACCAGCAGGTTGGCAAAGAAGCTTACCAGATGTATTTTATCTGAGAAATGAGGAGCTGGGGAAAGAGGGAATTACATCGAATTCATTCCTCATTCTCTAGTCTGGGTGAGTTGCTCCAGGGAGGGGGAATCTGTGGTTGCCAGCGTTAGCATCTAACGGGGGCTGCCTCCCTGCCCCTCCCTGCCTTCCTAGTTATTTGCAAGGCTGCTTATTGGGGAAACTTAATTCTCACAAGAAACTACTGCCTGGAAAAATACCTCGCAGCACGCTTAGTAGACAAGGAGTGCATTAATAGGGAAGGCAACCGGGGGCCGGCTCTGGCCATCGCACATCAGTTCTGCAGGCTGGGGCCAGAGGCGCGTTGTTGTGCCTGGCCAGGGGGCAGCCACACATGCCCGGCATCAAATGTGTCCCTCTACCTCACCCCTCTGGAGTCCAGGAGGCCTGCACAATCCATGGGCTGCTGCTGCCCAGGGCTTCTAGGTTTGGCTCCTCTTGTGGGCCTTTACTGAGAGCCAGGCTCACCTTCAAGTCCAACTTCCTCCGAGACAGAGTCCAGCAGTGCTTGGAAAGCAGGAGGAGGACTCGGGGGATACACTGGCCTGCCCCCAGGGCATTCTCAGCCCAGTGGGGAGATCCATGTGCCCTAGGAAATTGGGGAAGAGAGACTGCCACAGGAAGGTCGCTCAGAAATGCCTGCTGTTAAGTCAAACATCAAAGCCATCTGCCACTGCCCTGAGGTCAGCTCAGAGCTGGGGGCAGGACCCTTGGAAAGGTCAGAGAAGGGGATGAGTGGGGTGGAGCAGAAACCCCAGTGTGGAAGGTGCCGTGCTGTCTCACCAGCAGAGAAATGGTCAGGGTGTGTGGAGGGGTGCAGAGGTAGTGGTGACTATATGCAGAGCCATGAGGCCCACCTCTCTGAGGCGATGGGAGGCAAGAGGGCGATACAGAGATAACTCTGGCCCATGGGGCAGGCCCAGGTTCTTCCCTGGTTCAAGGTCAGGCAATGTGACCAAGTGGTTTGGAGCGAGGTCCCATAAAGTAGTGGGACCTTGTGGACAGAGGGCTGAGCCATGGTCTGTGCCCTAAGCCTGTCATGGGCCAACCCATGTGCCCCCAGCCCTGCGTCTCAGAACTCAAAGCCAGTGCTTGACTTGGGAGATCCAGGACGAAGGAGCTGGGTCAGCCTCGGGCCAGGGCAGTGTTTGTCTGGCTGTGTCCTCAGCTCCGTCTCAGCCCAACCCTGCCCCTGCCTTCACCTCCCCAGGCTAAGGGCTCTCACCAGGAGGCAGGAGGATGGCAAGGCACCATCCATGGATGTTTCCGTGGCCACAAAAATGAACTTAGCATGCATCACGCAACCTCTCTTTCATCAAAATAAAAAGGAAACTGACAGGCGGGCGCCAAGGGCCGCATCTAACAAAATGAAGCTTAGCAGGGATAAATGTCAGGCCCTGAACCTGGGTTTAAAAATTCAGCTGAATGTTCCAAATAACCAGAAGAGTGAACTTCAAATGTGCACAACACAGAGGAATGAGAAACGCTGGCGAAGGGGGATAGACTTATTCCTTTGATCTGATATTTTTTTAACTTGATGCGGGGCATGTGCACTCACTGGAGAGAGACAAAGACAAAGAGAGACAGAAAGTGAGAAAGCATCCTTGGAAGGATGGCCATAGCACAGTTCTTTCCCTTCTGTCCTCTCGGGATTTGGGGCATGCACACACACACGCATGGCCAGCACGTTTCTCAAGCTGGGACGAGAACCACGTAGTCAGCCATGTGGGACCCAGTTGCACTACCCTCCATGCCACCTGCTGGCCCTATTTGATGTTTTTGTTTGTTTGTTTTTAAATTCATGAACCAGAGTTCCTGCTCTCCAGCACCTCTATATGAGGCCAATGTGTGGAAGCTTCTGGAAGCGCTCTCTGGATCGACAGGAGGCAGCCCTTTCTGAAGGGAGCGCTCAGAGGGACTGAAGCTGGGCACAGCTGACCTCCGGAGCCTCTGAGGTCCGTCTCTCACCTTCAGCCCTCTCCAGAATGGATTAATGGAAATGAAGGTGCTTTGAAAAGTTTGAATGTGCTCCCTGAATGCTACGACTTGCTGTTCCCAGGCTGACCAGGACTGGAATGCGGATGAGGGATGAGGCGTCTAGTCAGACTGAAGGTCAGGAGACAGTCAGTCAGGGAGTCGGTGCAGGCTCAGTCGACCTCCTCCACCTCCGCCCCTCCCTAAAGCATTTCAGCACTCCCCCAACTCCAGGAGGGAGTGGGACCGCAGACAAAAGGGGCGGGGAACCAGCCAGTACAAGGACAGGCCACAACAACAACAACAAAAACCCCCTCCTGGCTTACGAGATCCAGTCCACACCGGGAGTTTTTGGATTAACCCGAAATTCTCTGGCCTGTCCTGGGGTGACTTGGCACTGGGTTTGTTGTCCAGGCAGACTGAGTGGCCTACAGTGGAATTTCTCTGGCAAAATGGTGACAGCTGGGGAGGGGAGTCTGGGGCAGGAGAGCCTGTCGCACCCATATTGTGGGAAGGGAGGAGGCCCTACGGGGTCTCTGGAGCCCCACTCCTGCTTCTTTCCCTCGCCCCCTTCTCCCTGGAGCAGGCAGCTGGCCAGGGATGCAGCCTGCAGTCTCCAGGCGTTGGTTTCCAGCCTGCCAGGTCTCGTAGGCGCTGTGGAGTGGTGGGCAGAGATAAGCTCTCCCCCGAGGCCAGCACGAGCAGAGCTGAGATGTCTGGGTCCTGGCGAGATGGTTGTGGGGGGCTGTATACAGGAGACATCCTGCACCTGCCCATCTAAGGACCAAAGTCAGCGACGGGGAGGGCAGGGTGCAAGCAGTGGCTAAAGCCCTGCGGAGGGCTACTCGTGAAGCGCAGTGCTGGGCACTCTGCAGATACCACCTCACTTTAAATCACACCGGCTCTCCATGTAGGTCTGTATCTCTGCCAGGAGAGAGAGGCTCTCAGAATCAAATGGCAACTAAGTAGCAGAATCAGGATCTGAGTGCAGGTCTGTCACAGCTGCCCAAGACCTTCCCACCAGGCTACTCCTATGGAAAGCCGGCAGGAGGAGGCCTGCTGGTGGCAGAGGAAGCTGGCACCATCCAGTGGTGGCAATCCAGGACCGCTTCCTTCTGCACGGCCTGGTGAAATCTTCTCATCCTGTAAGACCCTGTTTCTTTTCCCTACCTCATCCCAGTCCCTCATTCACTGGCCGACAAAGGTGAATGGCGCTCCTCCTGTGGCCAGGTGCTGTGTGGGGTGCAGTGAACGAGCATTCGCCAGCCCCACAGCCCGTGCAGCCATGGAGGAGATGATGCGGAGCCTTCAGCCATACCTCCCCCTCTGATCTTGACGTGCACAGCCGTGAGGACACAGGCGCAGTCCTGTCCCCATTAGGTAACAGCATGCAGGGAGACACCAGGTCACTGTGTCTACACTCTGGGGGAGGCTGGCACAATGTTGGCAGGCCTGAGTGTCCAGCCTGTGTTGTAGAGATGTCTGGTTTTCCAGCAGCATTAACGAAGTGGAAAGTTCTCCTGGCTGGTGCCCGTCCCTGTTCCTATCCTCCCCCAGCATGCAGAGAAGAGAGACGGACTCTCCAGCTGAACCTTTGGCCTCAGGATGCAGAAAAAATGGAGAAAGAAGGTTGGAGGGCAGGAAATGCCTGGGCTAGAGGCCAGCCTCGATGCCATGGGCCAAGCAGGGGGTTCGCGGCCCTCTGTCTTCTGGGATGTGACAGGGGCTCGCCAGGGTGTCTTAGAGAGGCTCCTCCCCGGCCGCTCACTCCTCAGCCTGGACAGAGCCACACTGGCGGCTCCTCCTGGGCCTTCCTTGCAGTGCACGGGTGCCCCACGGTGGACAGAGGGCAGGCCCTGAGCCACTTCCTCCTGAAGGCTCAAGTCCTGAGTGAGGAGGGCTCAGATGCCTTTGCGTCCAGGGTCTGTGGTTGCCTCCCTTGGGTGGGGGAGAGCCTCGGGGAGATCCGTGGTGCCTGGGCTAGAGGGCTCTCTCCAGTGTCTGCTGCAGACCACTCGCTTGCTCGTCGGGGCTCTCTGGGTCTTTCTCCTGACAGAGAGCACACTTAGCGTGGGGATAGGCTGACCTGGCTGGGCCGACGCTGGCTCCTGCATCACCCTCCTCCCCATCAGGCACAGACCCACTCCCTTCCAGTGTGCATATCCCCAGCACGATCTTCAGGACAGAAAGGCCTTGTCTGGGGTGGGGCGGGAGGTGGGGTGGGGTGGAAGGCCAGGTGGCGCTGGGGCACCCGTCCCGTGCAATTCTCCCACCATCAAGACTGCCCATTGCAGCTTCCATCTCCAGGGATGGTCCCCTGCTCCAGGCAGAGACTTGATGACAGTCAGAGGGGACAGGGATCGGGAAGCCATAGAGGCTGGGGGTCAAGGAGGAAGCAGAGCCCTGGAATGCAGCAGAACTTCAAAGCATCCAATTTTTTAATGTTTACTTTTTCTTTCTGTCCCGAGTAACAGGCTATGTGCAGATGCCAGAAAGGGATGGGTGTTAGCCCGCCACAAGGCCCTGGATGAATGATCCTATCCCCTCAAGGCTCATCCTCAGCTCCTTCCTGACCCTTCACCTCCCACGACACAGCCAAGGTCCTTCCGAGAAGGCTAAGCTAGAGTCAGAAGAGGAAGGCTGCAGAGGGAAATCGCTTCAGGGAGCCTAGAAAGATGCAGGAGGACATAGAGCCCGAGATAAGGAGGAAGGAGTAGGCGGCAGCTTGGGGACATCAAAGTCCCCACAGACAGGGCAGGGAAGTGAGCCCGGCCTGAGTTCTTCCTCTAGAGGAGGGAAAGGAGAGCGTGGGCACTCCTGAAGGTTAAGTCACTGGCTTAGTGCCTTGGCTAACATGTGGGGTGGGATCCTGGGTCCTGGGTCCAGGGATGATCAATTCCAGAAGGTTTCGTAAGCCACGCTGAGCAGACGACCTGGGAGAGAAGAAGCTCACCTGTAAGGACAACAGGACTTGGGCTCCAGAATTCTGGAAACTTAGGACTGAAATCAGGTTCTCTACACCAACTCTGCCTGTAGGAGAAAATAGATTTCAGCCAGAATAAAGTCATGTCTTAATTAGGTAGCCAGTTAACTTCAAAGGGAAGTCAGAGAACCAACCAACTTCCTCCTCCCTCCTTCCCCACCTCTTCCATTATTCAGGGTGCAATCACAACCTGCCAGGCCTGGTGTCAGATCTAAGGAACACACATGAATAGCAGCCAGCCCTGCCCGTGGGGAATTCACAATCCTTTAGGAAATTCTAAGAAACTGTGGCAGCTCTTTATACACCCTCACTCTCAGGGCCGTTTTCCCTCTCCTGTTCCCTCTTTGTTCTGAGCTCATTGTCAGGCCCAGCCCGCTCTGTTCTGAGAGGGGGAAGTCCAGCTCCTGCCTAGCCCTGCCCTCCTGGAGCCATTCCAGAGGCTACACCAGAGTAGGTAGTGACACCAACTCCAAGCTGGCCCCTGAAAGTGCAGTGCCTCTCACATCTGGACCCAGCTGGGCCTGGGGCAGTCCATTTCTCCAGGTCATAAGTCAGGTCATAAGTCACAGGGACTTCCAGTCCTGGAACACACGAACAGCCCTTGGCTTCCAGCCCCCGAGCCTGCTGTCTCTAGGCCTAGAACCGCTCACCACACCCCATTGCTCACCGAGTATCCAGAGCGTCACCCACGTGGGCCAGGCTCAACACCATGGCCATCGCATAAACTCACCCAGCATCCAAAACATATTTCACAGTAACTCGAGGTATCTATATGCTCTCTGGTCCCGGGAAGGGGATGGGCCAGACCGGAACAACACTGAAATCTTATTTTCCTGCCCTTACTTATTTGTCAGCATATCAAGTCTAATCCTGCACTCTTTTCCAAAGCTCCTACCTCCCAGATTTCTCTTCCAGCTCCAAAGCACTACCCCTTCTTCTTCTTCTCCTCCTCCTCCTCTTCTTTCTCCTTCTCCTTGTCTCTCCCCGCTTTCTCCTGATTTTGCAGCACAAAAGCCCCAAATACAGTCTGGGACGGCAAGACCCTCCCTGGAGAGAGGAGGGGGAAAGAATATGATGGGAAAGTATCCTTTTCCTTGGGAGGGGTGAGAGAAAAGGCCCCAAACGTGCATACCATAATTACTTTTCCCATCACCACAGCTGTCGCCTAGCTGGGCAGAATGATTTCTGGGCAAAGTGATCCATCTCTAGGACTGTTCTGGTCAGCCCTGACTCTAAATACCTAATTGCAATTGTAAGCTGCTGTGGGGCCAGCAGCTGGCATGGTAGTTAAGGTGCTGGATTCCACATGGCTGACGCACACGCATGTGCCCAAAATCCTGAGAGGAGAGTGAAGGAGAGGGGATTGAGGTGTGGCCATCCCCCAGGGAGTGATTTCTCACTTTCCCTCTCTTTGTGTCTCTCTGGTGAGCGAGCAAGCCCTATAGCAAAAAAATAATCAAATAAACAACCTCCTGCATAACAAGTTACTCAGATATCAGTGATTGAAGACGGTGATAATCAGTTATTGTCTCCCATGGTTTCTGTGAGTAGGAACCTGGGAGAACCTTGGAGCAGCTGGTTATCACCGTGGGCCTCACTTATCCCCTCTCCCAAATGGGACTATGGGGTAGATTAGAGACAGTCACATGCCTCGGCTACTGGTCATTTCGGGATCTGGGAGGGCGTAGTAGCCTGCTTAACCAATGAAATTCAGCAGATGTGAGGTTCTGGAACTCTCCAGTCTCGTCATAAGAAAGTTTGTGGCTTCCTCCCAGTTCTTTATGGATACTGAGGCCTGGGCCTGTGTGTAAGAAATGCAGGCACGTAGGGCTGCCACGCTGGAGCGAGCATGGCCACTGAGTCGACGAGCCTTGCCTTCCAGCCAACCCCGCCAAGGTGTCAGACATAGGGATAAGCTGTCTGGCACTCTCCCGATCAGCCCATTACCAGGTGAATACTAAAGGGACCTCAGGCAAAAACACCTGGGTTGAAAGAACCATCCAGCCAAACTGTCCCAATTTTTGACCCACAAAAATAATATGTTATTTTAAGTCACTCATTTTTCTTTCTTCTTCTTTCCTTTCTTCCTTTCATCCTTCCTTCCTTCCTTTCTTCCCTCCTTCCTCTCTCTCTCTCTCTTTTAAGGTTTTTGCCGTAGAGTATGTGTACTCACAGGAGAGAGATAAAGAAGCAAAGTGAAATCACCCCCCAGGGGGATGGCCACACTGCAATCCCTTCTCCCTTCTCTCAGGATTTTGAGCACACGAATGTGCCCACTTTTCAAGTCACTGGGCCGTGGAGTCAGCCATGAGGGGTCCAGCACTTTAACCACCACGCCACCTGCCAGCCCAAGCCCATCTGTGAGGTCGTGGTTGACTGGCACAGTTGCAGGGTAACAGTTGCCTCTCTTACAGGGTAGTTAGGAGTCTCTGATGAAATAGAGTGAAACACCGGACTTTGGAAGTGAGAAATTAAATTGTCATCACACAAGGACAGAACAACTGGTGCGAGGAGAACAGGCACGCACCCGAATGAGGTGGTGTTCAGGGTACGAGGCTATAACAAGAAAACCGAGGCTGGGAGAGGTTCAGCATGAATGGATGTGTGCTCTCCTCCATTCACCTGTGGAACTCTGCCCCTCACTGTGACCGTAGCTGGAGACAGGGCTTTGAGGAGGTTAATAAAAGTTAGATAAGGTCATGGGGGCATCCTAATCCAGTGGGACGAGTGGCCTTATAAGAAGAGGGAGAGAGGGCTGCACATGCTCACACTGAGGAAAGGCCATGTGAGTGTGCAGCGAGAAGGTAGTGGCCTACCAGCGGGGAGGGAACCCCTTGCTAGAACCCAAATATGCCATCAGCCTGACCTTGGGCTTCCGGTCTCTAGAACTTTGAGACAATTCCTGTCTGTGGTGTAAGTCACCCAGTATATGGAATTTTGTCATGACCTGAGCTGACTGAGGCAGGTTGCTTCCCCGTGGCCCTGCTGCCATAAGCCGGCCTGTAGGGTAGGGCAGTGTGCTTTCCTGACACCTGGTCCATTGCTTTTTCAGTATCCACCATCTCTGAGAGATGCATGCCCTCCCTACCACTGACCCCTGAGCTTCTCGTGAGCAGGTAAACACCTCACGCTGGAAAGGACAGTTAGAGAAGTCAGCTTTGTTTTAAGCCAGGCCTACCTCCTAGGTAACTGGTTACCCTCATTGGGTCTTTCACCAAGATTTGTATATCCTTTCAGTCCCTCCAAATCCCTCAAGGATGTGCCAGGAGCAAAATTTGGAAGGTGTCCACAGCCGGACTGGACAGAAGGCCCAGCTTTCCACCAGGTAGTGGCCTGGTTCTCTTCCTCTCTGCCATTCCTTCCACTGGCTTCTGGAGACAGGACGGCCTTGGAAGCCTCCCTGGAGCTGTCATCCAGGGCTCTGTCCTACCCTGCTGTTTCCCTGGAAGCCGGTGGGTGCAGCCTGGAGTTTGGTGGGGTCGGACAGGGTGAGAAGTACAGTTCAGCAGAAGGTCTGGGAATGAAAGAGTCTGGAACTGGAGCTGAGTTGGAAAAGGAGGAAAGAGCAAGCTCCCTCCCTTATTGAGAGGAAGTTCTTGGTGCAACTCCAACCTTCCAATTCATTTCTTCCAACTCGCCTAGCTTTTTTGCATCTGTGACCTTCATATTGTGTTTGCTGAACATAGAAACAACATCACTATTTTCAACAATGGAATCTTCAACCTACCCCAAAGATATCATCTAAAATAGATGTTCCACCTCCCCTCTTTCCATTCGCTGGTCTAGCGCATATACGTTTGGCATCTCTGCATTCTCTCTGGTGTATGGGGGAATGTCGCGGGTAAGACTGTGGGCTCTGCAGTCGGACGGGCCTGATTTAAATGCCACTCTGCCACTTATAGCCTTAGACTTGTTACCTAGCCTCTCTGAGCCTTGGCTTCCTTTTCTGAAAAATGGAGCTAACGATTATCCCTACTACATAGGGTTGCTGGGAGGGGACTGAAACAGACCGCAATCAGCCTGGCATGTAGTAAGTGCTGGACAGTGTTAGACACTGTTATCAGATGCCCATTGTGTGGTCACCTGAGGTCATGACACTATTGGAACCTGTTTCTTTCTATACAAGAGGCTGGGAGATAGGCAGGGATCCGTGGCCTTGACCCAAGGCACTTCTGTTTGGATTCCTGCAGGCTCAGAGAAGGTGGGCTAATGCGTTATAAACTACTCCTAAATTTGATGAGGAACCTGGGGATGGGCTCATCCTCTCTATTCTAGGGACTGACCTTCCAGCCTCACTCTCTGGTGGGAAAGAAGCCAGTGTTGAAGGTACTGGGGCACCGTCCAGAGAGCTGAGAGAATAAACTCTGTGTCCGGGGCATCTGGAAAAGACAGAACTAATGGATGCAGTCACTGTGTGTGTTGCCCCCGCGTCCAGGAAGTCTGACCAGATTCCTCCACCCGTGGGTCGGGGAAGTCGGAAGTCCCCTAGTTTCCCTTGGGGACATGAGCCAGCGTTTCATGGTCCAGATGATCTGGAAGTGCTCATTGATGTCTAACAGAAATCCCTCCTTCGACAGCCAAAGCCTTTCTCTCCCTTTGAGGTACTGAGACAGTGAGCAGACAGCAGTGGCCCCCCTATATTGGTGGCAAGAGTGTTTTCCAGGTTGGTGTTTGCAGCTGTCCCAGCGGGAGGCCTCTGATGGCTGAGGTTCCATGGCTCCACCTCACGAATTGGCTAGGACAGAGGGCAGAGGAGGTGGGGTGAGGCGGCGGTTCCAGACATCAAGGCCGCCAGGCGCTCGATACACAAAGGTCAAAGGAGCCTATGTCTGGAGTCTCCTCGGGGCTCCGCTCACCAGCAGGCACCAAAACACCACGCTCATGACCGTTACACCAGCCGAGGCGGGGACAGCCATGCGGTTGCAAAACATTTTCCATCTCCAGCCCCTGTTCTGGTAAATTCTCTTTATTGCTCATTCTTCCCGTTTTTCCACATTTGCTTGACATGAATGAATGACTAGATTCAAGGGATTTTTTTTAAAGTGAAATGTTTGGAAAATGACTGTTAGCACTACAAGGACCCTCTTTCTACTGGTTTGTTTGTTTATTTGTTTGTTTTCTAAGGGACTGGGATTGGAATAATATTTTCTTCTTTATAAAGATACCTAAAGACTCAAATTTGTAGTACAATGACCACCTATTTTATATTTTCTAAAACAGCCCCAAGTTTTAAAAAAACAACGTGTCAAGTCTCTACATAGATATGATTCCAAATGTATCTCGGTTGACAAACTTCTGTGTGCAAGAAATATGACTTTCTTTTATTTTTTTAAGATCTTAGTTTTTAAGAGGGGACTTCAAAAAGTGCATGGAAGGAGGGGACCAGCAGTTAGCGTAATGGCTGTGTCACTGGACTCCCATGTAGTCGACTGCGGTTCGCATCCTGGACCCAGTGGCTTAAAACTCAC